GACAAGAGCCCATGACATATAAAAAGATTATAGTATACTCTTATCCTGATAGGGTATTCGATTAGATGCATTCATATGCAAACATCATTTTTTAAAAGTTGTGTGGGAAGGTAATTATGGAATGAGTGAACCAAAATATCTCATCATAAACTGTTTTACTGGCTTGGATAAAATATTAGGTTGGTTCAAATCGGATACACCATTCCCAAAATTTTTACGATTTTGTTGGGACGTAGCGGAGGGAGTGGATCAATATCCCCTATTTTCAAACTTTGGTACAAATATTGATGCGCAAAGTTTGGGTGCCAGACATACAGATAGACTGTACAGTTAGTGAACTGTACGTAAGAGCTTTTACTTGGAGTCAGACAGTCTAATGAAAATATTTGCTTTCTATGAGTTCTATTTTAATGTAAATCATAAAATATGTTATTTATATCCCTCATGTTGTGGGTGCTAATGACTGCGATTTAGATAGGCAGTGCCATGATGCAATAATAAGGTGATGTATCAAAACAAAATGTTCCTTATAATGTTTCACATGGTTGGCAACATTGCACATCGAATTCAAGTAGAAATTGCGCACTTTGACAGTTATCGAGACATCAGCTGCGCCAAATGGACTACCTATTTATTGTGTCATGGGCAGTCGCACACACAGCATGTCATTTAGGGAAATCATAGGATTGGGTGATCATAAATAGAGACCATAAATGTGTCCAAATCCAAATCTATTTACACGTTCAATGTGCGCATTTGAAATGCATTGTAGTTTTATGTATTAATATGTAGGTTTACAATTAAGAAGATATTTTAAATAAAATGAGTTCACCTCGAACCACGGAAGAGTCAACACCGTGCATCATTCCTCATAGTTTTCTCCCGTTACACTTTGTAATGGGCATAGGCGTCGGCTCATCATAGACTGATATACGGGCGTACATTTACAGCGACTGATTTCGCCCAAAGACACACGGGGTCTAAAATCGATATGTCTATAAGGCACATTTTTGTCGTAGGGAAAGTGTATATACCCTCATTAGCCATAAGGCTTAGGGTATAACTAGGTAGAAAAGTTTCTACAGATAAATGACCTTCAATGGACCTTTTAAATATAGAAATATATTTTTATACCATCCTAAATAGGGTGTTGGGTATATTAAATTTGTTATTCCGTTGATAGGACCTTGACATATATGTTGAAAACTCAAGAAATCATATTCGAATAAAATTCTGTTGAAGAAATGAGAGGAATCGTAATATTTTAGATATGTATAACTTGGAAATTTGGTTTTGCGGTTTAGCCACTTTGGAAAGGTAATTTTCAATACAAGTAAGCATTCGGGCTGCATAGTGAATAAAATATATCTTCGCTGAAAAATGATCAGTAAAGGTACATGGTTTACCATAGCCCTCTATATAAAAGTCCCACCTCGTTTTTGATATTTTAAAGATTTTAGTCGCATTTTCTAATCAATGTGGCTGTAATTTGAAATTTCGGGTTGTCGACAATTTTTTAATATAGGTCCATTTTTTGACTTGTATGAGACTTCTGCAAATAGAGGGGTATTTATAGGACTTTATTAAATTTGAAGATCGTTTATAATATTTACGCCTTGAAATGAGGTATTCCCCCCAAAAATTGTCTTAAAATATCCACGCCTTGAGCTGTGGTTGTTTATGGAAAAAATGAAGTGGATATTTAAAGACAAATTTCATACTTTCAGAAATTAGGAAATTTTTCTTCTAAAATTGTACACTTTAGACTATGGTAGTCCTTCGACAAATTATCTGAAAATATCCAAGTCGAGTTGTGTTAGTCCTTCGATTAATTGTCTTTCTATTAATTTTCTTTAAATATCCATGCCTTGAGCTGTGGTAATTCTTCGGAAAAAATGTCTTTCAGGTTGTCGAAATGTTGCGTTTAAATATCCACCTCTAAGCTATGGTAGTCCTTCGACAAATGCCTTCAAATATCTACGCTTTGGGATGTGGTAGTCCTTCTAAAAAGTGTCTTAAAATATGCTACCACAAGCTGCTGTAGTTCGTCGGAAAATTATAGTTTCGGTAGTCTGAATATTATCTTTGAATATCCACCCAAGAGCTGTGGTATTCTTTCTTCCAGGTAGTCGAACAATTGTCTTTAAATATTCACGTCTTCAACTGTGGAAGCTCTTCGGAAAATTGTCTTTTAAGTTGTCAAAAAATTGTCTTTAAATGTGACTATTTGATCTATGATAGTCCCTCAGAATACTGCGTTTAATTATCCACGCGCTGCGGAAGTCCTTATATAAATTTTCTATTTTGAATCTTGAGATATGGAATTATTCCAAAAAATGGTCTTGAAATGTCTACTTCTTGGGCTGTGGTAGTCTCTCGGAAAATTGACTTTTATGTAGTCAGAAACTTGCCTTTAAATATCCACACCAGGAGCTGTGGTAGTCCTTTTTTGAGGGAGTCTGAAAATTATCTTTAAAAATCCACTACTTGAGTTATGGCACTCCCTCGGAAAATTTTCTTTTAGGTAGTCAGAAAATTGTTTTTAAATATCCATGCCTTATGTTCCCTGGGAAATTTGTCTTTAAATATTCACATCCTGAGCTGTGGTAGACCATGGGAAATTATTTTTAAATATCCATACATTGAGCTATGGTATTCCATCGGTAATTTTTTTTTAATATGCACGTCTTGAGACGTGGAGTCACTTCAAAAATGTCCTTTAAATGTTAGTTCCTTGAGCTGTGTTAGTCCTTCGGAAAATTGTGGAGCTGTGGTAATCCTCATTTCAGGGCGCCGGAAATTGTCTTTAATTATTCCGGTCGTGAGTTGTGGTACTCCCTCGGAATTTTGTCTTTAGGTAGTCAACAAATTATCTTTAAATATCCATGCCTTGAGCTGTAGTAGTCCCTTGGAAATTGTATTTAAATATCCAAATCCTGAGCTGTGGTAGTCCGTAGAAAATTAGTTTTAAATATCCATACATTGAGCTACGGCAGTCCTTCGATAAATTTTCTTAAATTATCCACGTCTTGAGATGTGGATACACTCAAAAATGACCGTGAATATCCTCTACTTGAGCTGAGGTAGTCTTCCATACCAGGAACTGTGGTAGTCCTTATTTTATGTAGTCAGAAAATTGTCTTTAAATATCAAAGAGTTGGGTTATGGTACTCCTGCGGAAATGTGTCTTTACATGCCCACGCTCTGAGCTTTGGTAGTCCCTCGGAAATTGTCTTTAAATATCCACCTCAGGAGCTGCAGTCCCTCTGAAAATTGTCTTGAGCTATGACAGTCCCTTGGAAATAGTCATTGAGGTCGTCGGAAAATTGTGATTAAATATCAACATCTTGAGCTGTGGTAATCCCTTGTAAAATGGTCATTAAATATGTACGTATCGAGCTGTGATAGTCCCTCGGAAATTTGTCTTTGAGATAGTCGGAAAATTGTCTTGAATTGTGATAGTCCCTCGGGAATTTACTTTAAATATTCAGAAGCTATGATAGTCTTTCGGATATTTTTTAAAATATTCATGCCATGGAATTTGTTTTTTTTAATGTCCATTCTTTGAGCTATGATTGTCCCTCAGAATATTGTCTGTAAATATTCACACCTTCAGTTGTGGCAGTCGTTCGAAATACTATCTTTAGATATCCATCCCTTGATATTTTCTTTAAATATTTTACACCTTGATATGTGGTAATCCCCTTGATATTTCGTAGTTGTTCGAAAAAATTGTCATTAAATATCCACGCCTTTGGGGACCTCCATAGGACTTCAATAGATATTTTTATTCGCCATTTGTCCACTTCTAAACACTGTGCTAAATTTGCTCATTTAAAATTTTGCTATCAAATTTTTACAAGCTGTAATAATGTTAGAGTATATTTACACATACATACATTTTTTGCTCACACACAAACCGAGACCAGCATCTAAGCACACACACACTTACATAGAAATACCCAACAGAAAAAGCTAACACAAAATGTTGCCACAAAATGAAAATAACAGTAACATAACAATTAATCGAACAACAATAACAGCAACAACAATGATTGTAAAACCAAAGGCAATTAAAAACACACACGCACACAAAATAATGAAAAGCGTTTGGCAACAATAACAACAATTATAATATATTAACAATAACAACAATAATAGTAACAGCAACAATTGTTTGTTTGTTTTTGTGGATTGGTTTTTTGTCTGAATCGATTCATATTTGCCCACATTTAGAAGTAGTTGAATCTAAACGGAGGCAGCAGCAACAACAACATCATCTGTGGCAACCTCACCGGTATTGGATGGCGATGCAGTGGCAGTAGCCACTGATGGTAGTATTACTGCATCGACAATATCGACACCAACAATTTCATTGTCATTGCCAGCAACCTCGCCACCCTCCGCATCACCACCATCATCAACAACATCGACAATAACAACAATATGATGATGATTATTATAGCAAAAAGCACTGCCACCGATGGTAGCCGTAGGTGGCTTAGCACCAGGGCTTCTCCTGCTGCTGCCACCACCATCGCTACCACCACAGTTCAGAGCCCCATTAAGGACTTGATTGAATTTTAATTGATTGGTAAATCGATTAAGATTTTGATTGTTTTGTTGTTTTTTGATTTGATTAGTTTCGAATCGATTTGAATCTTTATTTGACTGGTATGGATGATGATGATGATGTTGATGCTGGAGGTCCTGATGCCGTTGTTGTTGCTGCTCCCTTTTGTGTTCCAGTGTTTGTGTGTGTCGGTGGTGGTGATGATTATTATAAATATTTGTGATAGTTGCGGGCGTAGCCTGAGCAGTTGTAGATGGAGGAGGAGAAGAAGGAGTAGGCGAGCAAGCTGTAACATTTTGATTGATATTTCGATAATGACCACTACAACGACTACTACGACCACAACCACTAGCACAGGCACTACCACTATCACTACAATCAGCTGTGGCGACACAATGAATTGTATTTGAGTGTGTGAGTTCAGTACCGGCTTGAGATGATTGATAGCACTCTCGGGTCAGAACTATACATAATCCAATAGCTAATATCACAAAGGTTCCAAGTACTATACTGACGGCAACAATCCAGATACGTGGATCGAAATTATCTAAATCGGGTTGTATAAGGCGTATTAAATCTACAAGAAAGAAAGAAAAACAAGAAGGGAGAGGGGCAGAGAGAGGTGGAGGTATGTGGAATGATTAAAGAAAATAGGAAAGGGAGGAACATAGGCAAGGAGAAGAAAAAAGGAAGAAAATTAAAAAAATAAATATCGTTAGGTTATGAAATAAAAATAGAGGTGGAGGATATGTATGGAAGAGAAAATAGAAGAGACAAAAAAATACACAATATAAATAGTTACACACTTAAAACAATTAATATCAATTTATATATACTTGTAAAATAACAACAACATAACATTCGCCATTGAAAGGCAAATGCTAAAACTACACATAGCTTTGGTCACAACGTAGAATTTGTTATACCTTTCCACAGAAGGTAGGGAGTTTTGAACATTTTTGAGAAATTAATGTGGTAGTCCCTTGAAATTTGTCTCAAAATATCCACGTTGAGGTAGTCGGAATATGGACTTAAAATATTCACGCCATGAGCTGTAGTCAGGGAATGGATTTCAAATATCCACGTTTTGAGATCTGGTAGTCCCTCGAAATTTCTTCTCAAAATTTTCCATGGTAGTCCCTTGAAATTTGTCTCAAAATATCCACGTTGAGGTATTCGGAATATGGACTTAAAATATTCACGCCATGAGCTGTAGTCAGGGAATGGATTTCAAATATCCAAGTTCTGAGATCTAGTAGTCCCTCGAAATTTTTTCTCAAAATTTTCCATGGTAGTCCCTTGAAATTTGTCTCAAAATATCCACGTTGAGGTATTCGGAATATGGACTTAAAATATTCACGCCATGAGCTGTAGTCAGGGAATGGATTTCAAAATCCAAGTTCTGAGATCTAGTAGTCCCTCGAAGTTTTTTCTCAAAATTTTTTACGTCTTGAGCTCCGAAAAATGTCTTTGAGGTGGTCGGAAAATGATCTCAAATTATCCACGTCTTGACAGTCCCTACGAAAATTATCTTTGAGGTAGTCAGCGAATGGATTTAAAATATATTCATCTTGAGCTGTGGCAGTCCCTCCGAAAATTGTCTTTAAATGTTCACGTCTTGAACTGTTATATTCTATCAGAAATTTGTCTTTGAGGTAGTCAAAAAGTGGACTTACTTCTAGAGCTTTGATAGTTTATCGGAAAACTGTCTTTGAAATAGTCTGAAAGTTATTTCAAAATATACACGTCTTGGGTTGGGATAGACCATCGGAAAATTGCATTTGAGGAAGTCGAAAAATGAACTTTAAATATCTGCGTTTTGAGCTGTGGCACACCCTCGGATTTTTTTTTAAATATGCACCCCTTTAGCTTTTTAAATTCTTTTAAATATCCAAGCCTTGAGTTGTGGCATTTCTTAGAAAAATTGTCTTTAAATTTGCCATGCCCTGTGGTAGTCATTTGAAAAATAGTCTTGTAAGCAGTCTTAAAATATACATGCCTAGAACTTTGGTATTCCCTCGTAAAATTGCCTTAAAAATCTATGGCTTCAGCTGTGGTGTCCCAAAGGAAAATTGTCTTTTAGGTAGTCGGCACATTATCTTTAAATATCCATGCCTTAGGCTAGTCCCTCGGATAATTGTCTTTAACCCTTTGTGGCCCAATGTTGCCCACATGCAACAAAATGTTTTAGAGCTTATATTTATTATACAGCTAGTAGATATGCATTCTTTGGATTTCCTGGATTGGATTTCCTGTCAAGACCTGATTATGGACGACACATATCACAAGGAAAGTCTAAAAAATTCAAATTTTTGGTAAAGTTATGAGCTTTTTAATACAGAGAAGAGGGCAAAATGTGTACAGTACTAATTTGTGTATACAGTCCAAATTATTCGTATTCGAAATATACGAATACTGTCGTCAGAATTATTTTTGATTCTTGTAAAACAGAATATAAAGAATAACTTATAATCATTTTTTCGCCGATTTTGCATTTGGTTTTCTTGATATTGGGCTTTTATTTTTCAGAAAGAATGTACTGTATCTCCCGAAAGCAAGGATATAGCGATGTCGAATTTTGTCCATATCCTATCTAGGATAGTTCCATTAAATCTGTGAACAGAAAATGTGTCTATGATTACGGAAAAAATTCGGGGCTCAAGGGGTTAAAAATCTAAGCCTTGAAGTGTACTAGAAATTCAGGACATTATGTTCAAATATCAATACCTTGGGGCTTTGCTAATCCGTCGGAAAACTTTCTTTTAAGAATTTCGAAAATTGCCTTTAAATATACACACTTTGTAGTAGTAGCTCGTCTTAGAGTGACCATAGCTATGTTGTATTTTATATTTATAATAATATTACTTAAAACTTAAACTATTAATTTTATAATTTAGAAGTCTAAACATTTAAACGACATCAAAGGAATTTTAAAAAATTATCTATTTTTAATATTGAATTTCTGGGTTTCCTAACTTTTACCATACCAAATTTAAATATCAAATATTTAATTGACAGAAAACAGAACTATTAAAGTCCCTCTGAAAATATTATTTAAAAAATACACGCCTAGATCTGGCATAATATTATTTAAAAAACCAGTAAGGAAAGTAGTAAAGTCGGACAGAGCCGACTATATGATACCCTTCACCACTTTGGGTATATTCAACAAATGAATCCTAACAGACATCGCATTTTTAAAGGACCAGCAAAATGAAATTGGATCCATAAACATGTCATTCTGCAACCTATACTAATTTCTTTCATTTGGTCAGATAAAGAAGCTATATCTAAATCTCAACCGATTTCAACGATTTCAGGAAATTTAACACATATCATTCTAGGCCTAATTCATTACGCTGTGCCATATTTCGAGCAAACCGAAAGATATATAGGGACTTTGGTAGTACCATTTGCGTAAAATCGGACGAAACTATATATGGGAGCTATATCTAAATCTGAACCGATTCTCACCAAACTCAGCACAAATCATTCTGCACTTTATACAGAACGCTCTGCCAAATTTCGTGCAAATCGAATGATATATAGGGACTTTGGTGCACCATTTGCGTAAAATCGGACGAAACTATATATGGGAGCTATATCTAAATCTGAACCGATTTTCACCAAACTCAGCACAAATCATTCTAGACTTAATTGAATACGATATGCTAAATTTCGTGCAAATCGAATGATATATAGGGACTTTGGTGCACCATTTGCGTAATATCGGACGAAACTATATATGGGAGCTATATCTAAATCTGAACCGATTTTCAGGAAACTTGACACACATCATTCTAGGCCTAATTCATTACGCTGTGCCAAATTTCGTGCAAATCGAAAGATATATAGGGACTTTGGTGCACCATTTACTTAAAATCGGACGAAATTATATATGGGAGCTATATCTAAATCTGAACCGATTTTCATGAAACTCAGCACACATCATTCTAGGCCTAATTCATTACGCTGTGCCAAATTTCGTGCAAATCAAAAGATATATAGGAACTTTGGTGCACCATTTACATAAAATCGGACGAAACTATATATGGGAGCTATATCTAAATCTGAACCGATTTTCCCAATTTCAATAGGGTTCGTCCTTGGGCCAAATAAGTGACCTATGCTAAATTTCATCCAAATCGGATCATAAATGCGACCTGTACTTTGTTTACAAAAATACATGGACGGACAGACGGACGGACATGCGTAAATCGACTCAGAAAGTGATTCTATGCATATTCTCAAAAGGAACCATGTGTCTATCCGGTTTCCTTTTGCCTGTTACAAACATATGCACAAAGACATAATACCCTGTACCACAGTGTGGTGAAGGGTATAAAAACCCACGCCTAGATCACAGAAAATATTATTTAAAAAATCCACGTCTAGGTCTGAGAAAATATTCTTTAAAAAATCCACGTCTAGGTCTGAGAAAATATTCTTTAAAAAATCCACGCCTAGATCTGAGAAAATATTCTTTAAAAAATCCACGCCTAGATCTGAGAAAATATTATTTAAAAATATGCACGCATAGATCTGAGAAAATATTATTTCAAAAAAAATCCACGCCTACTTCTGAGAAAATATTATTTAAAAAATTCATGCATAGGTATCCGGAAAATATCTTTAAAAAACCGGACAAAAAATCAACGCCACACACATAAACCCGGAAAACTATTTTTTAAAAAAATTACACCTAAGTTTCCGAAAAAAAATTTTCATAAATAGTCCACGCCTAGAGCTTCGAAAAAAAAAAATAATTTAAAAAGCCAGGCCTTGAGCTGTGTTAATCCTTCAAGTAATTTCTTTAAAAAATAACGCTAGAGCTCAGAAAATGTTGTTTAACAACATGTCTAGAGCTCTAAAGATTATATGAATAACTCACGCCTAGAGCTCCGAAAATATTGCCTAAATAGTACACGCCTATTGCTGTAATAATATTCTTCAAATAATCTACGTATAGAGCTCCGAAATATTCATTAAATAATCCATGCTTTGAGCTAAATAATCGGTCTGGAAATATTCTTCAAATAATCTACGTGAAGAACTCCAAAAATATTCTTAAAATTTTCCACGCCTTGAACTGTTATGATCCCTCTGGAATTATTGGCGAATTATTTTTTTTCTCCTCACATTTGCCACATTCACCTCTCGCCTCTTTCAATACTCGTATGAGGCATGATCCTTAACCTAACTTTGTTGCTAATTGCAGCCTTAACACATTTAATGTGTCATTATTCTCACAAATGAAACACTCCCCTACTATCAATTACCTACTTATTTACTTACTTAACAATAATGAAATACAACAATAAAAAATATACGACATTATCCTTACAACTACACACATATACATACATTTGATACAGAACTAAAGATAGTTGTAATGCGAACAATCAAGGAAATTGCTTGGACTTACCTTCTTCTTTCGTTTCCGGCAGGGTTGTGACATTCGTTGTAACCACTTCGCCACTGCCCAAGTGATTGTTGGCCCACATGCGAAACTCATATGTGGTGTTGGGTTCCAGGCGATACACTTCCATTTGTCGCTGTGGTGAAGAGAGAAAAAATATTGAGTTCCGTAAAGGAAAATTCAGAGGCGGGGTAGGACAGAATTGTTGAAGTAAAAAAACAGGAAAAATGTAAAAAAAATAAAAACCAAGTGGCAAATAAATAATTAAATGACCAACATTAAATAAATCTTGTTAATTATTGTTAAATACAATGTTGACAGTCTCGGTGTTCTCTTTCCGGCCATTCATTAGCTCTGTCAACAATATTGAATGTTGGCAATGAATGCGTGTGGAGGTGGGGTCTGTCTGTCTGTGCGTAGCAGCTTTTAATGTCAATCTCGTTGAAAATTTCTCGGCAATACAATTTAAATGAATGGTCTCTATTTACGCTTAATTGACTTCTTAACAAAATAATGCCACCGAGCGGAATAGGGAGGGGCATTCTTCATTAAATAATCCACGCCTAGAGCTGTGAAAATCTTCATTAAATAATCCACGCCTAGAGCTGTGAAAATCTTCATTAAATAATCCACGCCTAGAGCTGTGAAAATCTTCATTAAATAATCCACGCCTAGAGCTGTGAAAATCTTCATTAAATAATCCACGCCTAGAGCTGTGAAAATCTTCATTAAATAATCCACGCCTAGAGCTGTGAAAATCTTCATTAAATAATCCACGCCTAGAGCTGTGAAAATCTTCATTAAATAATCCACGCCTAGAGCTGTGAAAATCTTCTTAAAATAATCCACGCCTAGAGCTGTGAAAATCTTCATTAAATAATCCACGCCTAGAGCTGTGAAAATCTTCATTAAATAATCCACGCCTAGAGCTGTGAAAATCTTCATTAAATAATCCACGCCTAGAGCTGTGAAAATCTTCATTAAATAATCCACGCCTAGAGCTGTGAAAATCTTCATTAAATAATCCACGCCTAGAGCTGTGAAAATCTTCATTAAATAATCCACGCCTAGAGCTGTGAAAATCTTCATTAAATAATCCACGCCTAGAGCTGTGAAAATCTTCATTAAATAATCCACGCCTAGAGCTGTGAAAATCTTCATTAAATAATCCACGCCTAGAGCTGTGAAAATCTTCATTAAATAATCCACGCCTAGAGCTGTGAAAATCTTCATTAAATAATCCACGCCTAGAGCTGTGAAAATCTTCATTAAATAATCCACGCCTAGAGCTGTGAAAATCTTCATTAAATAATCCACGCCTAGAGCTGTGAAAATCTTCTTTAAATAATCCACGCCTAGAGCTGTGAAAATCTTCATTAAATAATCCACGCCTAGAGCTGTGAAAATCTTCTTTAAATAATCCACGCCTAGAGCTGTGAAAATCTTCATTAAATAATCCACGCCTAGAGCTGTGAAAATCTTCATTAAATAATCCACGCCTAGAGCTGTGAAAATCTTCATTAAATAATCCACGCCTAGAGCTGTGAAAATCTTCATTAAATAATCCACGCCTAGAGCTGTGAAAATCTTCATTAAATAATCCACGCCTAGAGCTGTGAAAATCTTCATTAAATAATCCACGCCTAGAGCTGTGAAAATCTTCATTAAATAATCCACGCCTAGAGCTGTGAAAATCTTCATTAAATAATCCACGCCTAGAGCTGTGAAAATCTTCATTAAATAATCCACGCCTAGAGCTGTGAAAATCTTCATTAAATAATCCACGCCTAGAGCTGTGAAAATCTTCATTAAATAATCCACGCCTAGAGCTGTGAAAATCTTCATTAAATAATCCACGCCTAGAGCTGTGAAAATCTTCATTAAATAATCCACGCCTAGAGCTGTGAAAATCTTCATTAAATAATCCACGCCTAGAGCTGTGAAAATCTTCATTAAATAATCCACGCCTAGAGCTGTGAAAATCTTCATTAAATAATCCACGCCTAGAGCTGTGAAAATCTTCATTAAATAATCCACGCCTAGAGCTGTGAAAATCTTCATTAAATAATCCACGCCTAGAGCTGTGAAAATCTTCATTAAATAATCCACGCCTAGAGCTGTGAAAATCTTCATTAAATAATCCACGCCTAGAGCTGTGAAAATCTTCATTAAATAATCCACGCCTAGAGCTGTGAAAATCTTCATTAAATAATCCACGCCTAGAGCTGTGAAAATCTTCATTAAATAATCCACGCCTAGAGCTGTGAAAATCTTCATTAAATAATCCACGCCTAGAGCTGTGAAAATCTTCATTAAATAATCCACGCCTAGAGCTGTGAAAATCTTCATTAAATAATCCACGCCTAGAGCTGTGAAAATCTTCATTAAATAATCCACGCCTAGAGCTGTGAAAATCTTCATTAAATAATCCACGCCTAGAGCTGTGAAAATCTTCATTAAATAATCCACGCCTAGAGCTGTGAAAATCTTCATTAAATAATCCACGCCTAGAGCTGTGAAAATCTTCATTAAATAATCCACGCCTAGAGCTGTGAAAATCTTCTTTAAATAATCCACGCCTAGAGCTGTGAAAATCTTCTTTAAATAATCCACGCCTAGAGCTGTGAAAATCTTCATTAAATAATCCACGCCTAGAGCTGTGAAAATCTTCATTTAATAAACCACGCCTAGAGCTGTGAAAATCTTCATTAAATAATCCACGCCTAGAGCTGTGAAAATCTTCATTAAATAATCCACGCCTAGAGCTGTGAAAATCTTCATTAAATAATCCACGCCTAGAGCTGTGAAAATCTTCATTAAATAATCCACGCCTAGAACTGTGAACATCTATAAAATATCCACGCTGTGAAAATCTTCTTTAAATAAGCTACGTCTGGGGCTCTCCAAAATATTCTTTTAAAACACAACATTCCAAATCGAATATCAGCATGGAACAACTGACATCCGAAGCCTATCATACTCAAGCTGCTGGCTGTAGGTCACACAGACTAAATCTCGCAATGAATGTCATTTACACAAAAGTGTACATTTAAATGCTTTGTTGCATATCAAAATTAGATCTGCACTTTTTTTTTGGGCCAAAAACCTATCATTAGCAGTTCGCAGCAGATGCCAATCAATTTTAATAGAGCTCATAACAGTCAATTAGTTTTGACAATCGCAATTGTTAAACAATGGATATGTTTTAACAAAGCATGAATTGATTTGTAGAACAAGCGTATTTCAAACGATTTTCTTTTCAGTTGGTATATTATTAGCATGGTATAATTAGCAAATAGAATGAACACGCCAATTTGCCCATGCGGGCGTATTATTAACGTCGATATGTATACGCCCTTCAATCAGAATGAAAATAAAAATTTGCATAGTGCCGTATGATTAACGTTCACATGTATACGCGCCCACTAAACTGAGAAGTGATTTAAGGGGAAGGAAATACTTAAAAAAATTATTTTCAAAACGCAAAAGATCTACGCTTTTAGTTGACGCAAAAATTCCACATCTTAATGGTACCGGAAAAATATCTGTAAAAAATTCACCTCTACAATATTCTGTAAGTAAGAAACAAAAAAGGGAGTTGGTCATCCTTAAAATATTCGCATCTCTTGGTACTTAGAAAAAACTTGAAAAAAGATTCTACAATTTTTTTTGAAAAATTTGCTTTAAAAGTACACGCTTCTAATATTCCTCAAAAAATATTATTTTATAAATCCACGCTTCTAATATTCCTCAAAAAAATATTATTTTATAAATCCACGCTACTAATATTCCTCAAAAAATATTATTTTATAAATCCGCGCCTATTATAGGTCCATAAAAAAAATTATTTTATAAATCCACGCTTTTAATATTCCTCAAAAAATATTCTTTTATAAATCCACGCTTCCAATATTCCTTAAAAAAATATTCTTTTATAAATCCACGCTTCTATTATTCCTCAAAAAATATTCTTTTATAAATCCACGCTTCCATTGGTACCTAAAAAAATACTCATTTGTAAATCCACGCTTCCATTGATACCTAAAAAATATTCTTTTATAAATCCACGCTTCCATTGGTCCATAAAATATTCTTTTATAAATCCACGCTTCTATTGGTCCCTAAAAAAATAATCCTTAAAAATCCGCACATTTGAATAATTTAATATAAGGGAACATTATGTCGTATGACTACTGTCAACATGTATACGCCCACTATTACACTTGTCACGAAATCATAGAAAATATCATTAAAAATTGTTCCTTAAAAAATCCTTTAAAATATTCATTAAAAAATCCATGCTTCTATTGGTCCCTACAAAATAATACTTAAAAATACGCACATTTGAATAATTTAATACAAAGGAACATTATGACGTATGACTACTGTCAACATGTATACGCCCACTATTACACTTGTCACGAAATCATAGAAAATATCACAAAGAAAAAATTCTTAAAAAAAAACAAAAACCTTGAAAATATTCTTAAAAAAAATCCACGCACCTATTGGTCCCTAAAGAATATTCATTTATAAATCCACGCTTCTCTTGGTCCCTCAAAAAATAGTCATTTATAAATTCACGCTTCTATTGGTCCATTGAAAATATTCTTTTAAAAATTTGTCCCTCAAAAATAGTTTAATTATTAGTTTCTTATAAAAAATAGTCTTAAAAAAATCCACGATTCTATTGGTTTATCAAAAAAAAAAAAAAAAAAAAAAAATGATCTTTGAAAAATCCACGATTCTATTGGTCACTCATTTTTTCTGGAAATTCAAGCTTCTATTGGTTCTTAAAAAAATATTCTTTTATAAATCCATATTATTGGTTCCTCAAAAAATATATTTTATAAATCCACGCTTATATTGGTTCCTCAAAAAATATTCTTTATAAATCCACGCTCTAAGGGTTCCTCAAAAAATATTCTTTAAAAATCCACGCCTATCGGTCTCTAAGGGTTCCTCAAAAAATATTCTTTAAAAATCCACGCCTATCGGTCTCTAAGGGTTCCTCAAAAAATATTCTTTAAAAATCCACGCTTCTATTTAGGGTTCCACAAAAAAATATTCTTTTATAAATCCACGCTTCAGTTGGCCCTTGAAAAATATTCTTTAATAAATCCACGCCTCAGTTGGCCCTTGAAAAATATTCTTTTATAAATCCACGCTTCTATTGGTTCCTCAAAAAATATTCTTTATAAATCCACGCTTCTCTGGTCCCTCAAAAAATGTTCTTTTATAAAATTGGTCCCTCAAAAAATATTATTTATAAATCCACGCTTCTATTGGTCCCTCAAAAAATATTCTTTTATAAATCTATTGGTCCCTCAAAAAATATTCTTTTATAAATCCACGCTTCTATTGGTTCCTCAAAAAATATTCTTTTATAAATCCACGCTTCTATTGGTCCCTCAAAAATATTCTTTTATAAATTCACGCTTCTATTGGTTCCTCAAAAAACATTATTTTATAAATTCATGCCTCTATGGGTTCCTCAAAAAATATTATTTAATAAATTCACACCTCTAAGGGCTCCTCAAAAAATATTCTTTTATAAACCCACGCTTCTATTTAGTCTACAAAAAAACATTCTTTTATATATCCACGCTTTTATTGGTTCCTTAAAAAATATTCTTTTATAAATCCACGCTTCTATTGGTTCCTCAAAAAATATTCTTTTATAAATCCACGCTTCTATTGGTTCCTCAAAAAATATTCTTTTATAAATCCACGCTTCTATTGGTCCCTCAAAAAATATTCTTTTATAAATCTATTGGTCCCTCAAAAAATATTCTTTTATAAATCCACGCTTCTATTGGTCCCTCAAAAAATATTCTTTTATAAATCTATTGGTCCCTCAAAAAATATTCTTTTATAAATCTATTGGTCCCTCAAAAAATATTCTTTTATAAATCCACGCTTCTATTGGTTCCTCAAAAAAAATTCTTTTATACATCCACGCTTCCATAGGTCCCTCAAAAAATATTCTTTTCTAAATCCACGCTTCTATTGGTCCCTCAAAAAATATTCTTTTCTAAATCCACGCTTCTATTGGTCCCTCAAAAAATATTCTTTTCTAAATCCACGCTTCTATTGGTCCCTCAAAAAATATTCTTTTCTAAAACAAAAAATATTCTTTTCTAAATCCACGCTTCTATTGGTCCCTCAAAAAATATTCTTTTCTAAATCCACGCTTCTATTGGTCCCTCAAAAAATATTCTTTTCTAAATCCACGCTTCTATTGGTCCCTCAAAAAATATTCTTTTCTAAATCCACGCTTCTATTGGTCCCTCAAAAAATATTCTTTTCTAAATCCACGCTTCTATTGGTCCCTCAAAAAATATTCTTTTCTAAATCCACGCTTCTATTGGTCCCTCAAAAAATATTCTTTTCTAAATCCACGCTTCTATTGGTCCCTCAAAAAATATTCTTTTCTAAATCCACGCTTCTATTGGTCCCTCAAAAAATATTCTTTTATAAATCCACGCTTCTATTGGGCCCACAAAAAACATTCTTTTATAAATCCACGCTTCTATTGGTCCCTCAAAAAATATTCTTTTATAAATCCACTCTTCTATTGGGCCCACAAAAAACATTCTTTTATAAATCCACGCTTCTATTGGGCCCACAAAAAACATTCTTTTATAAATCCACGCTTCTATTGGTGCCTCAAAAAATATTCTTTTATAAATCCACGCGTCTCTTGGTCCCTTTAAAAATATTCCATTGATACCTAAAAATATTTATTTAATAATCCGCACATCTGAATCATTTTATATTAAAGAACATTATGTCGTATAACTACTGTCAAAATGTATACGCTCGACATTACCCACATTATTTCAAATTCACAATTTTATTGGCGCTTCCCTTTAAAATAATCTTTTATAAACTTTTTTTGAAAAATCCAAGTGTCTGAAGATTTAAATTCTTCTATGATCTTGAAATAGATTTACATTAAAGAACAATAGGTCGTATAACTACCGACAACATGTATAGGCCCACCATAACCCTTAACTGGAATATCATAGAAAAATATTAGCTTTTTCTTACCACATTCGGTGCAATATTAATGGGATCCATGCGACTCCATTGATGTTCAAAGCTACTATTGTACGGCGGTGTATCATACGAAACGTTACGGAATTCCGCTGTAAAGCTACGCACCGGATATCCACCGGAATTGGTTTTATTAAAACGCCACACAAGGAAACCCAAAATCGTGGAGGCCTTAAAGTACAACTGTGAAACGGGACCAGGTGGGGTACGAACGGTAAGATTGATTTTTTGAAATGCTTGAAATTCCTGCACAGCATCCTCGTCATCATCAACATCGTCTTTCTGTTTCTCGTGTTCACCTCCCTCGGGGGATGGGAGAAGTGTAGTGGTGGTGGTTGTGGTTATAAGGATTTCCTCGCTGGGATTACTACTACTACGAATATTACTACTAGTACTGTTGTTGTTGTTGCTTTTGCTGGAAGTGTTGTGACTGCTGCTTGGGATACTACTGGTGGCGCTTGTGGTGTCTGTGGTGCTGTGAATGTTGGTGACATCATTTGAACTGCTACTTGTTGCTGGCATTGTTTCATTGATGCTGCTGCTAATATTGTTGGCTGAAGCGGAGGCTGGCGGTGAAGCTGTTTCTGTTGTTTTTGTTGTTGGTATAGATGCTACACTGCGGCTATTGCTGTCTGTAGCATCCTTAGGCATTGGAAGCATTGAGGTAGTTGAAGCATTTTTTGTTTTTATATTTATTTGGTTATTTTCTACAGAAGGCTCTTCGATGTTGGAGACAATATTTGTCTGATTTTTCGTCACTTGGGTAATTTCATTTTGACTTTCTTTCTCGATGTTAGTGGCATCAACCTCCTCCACCACTTTGGATTGCTGAACATCATCATGGGCTTTTGTGGTGGTGGCAATACTTTTTCGTGGTGTTACAGCGGCAAAACACACATAGATACCACGATCAGAGGCTGAGACATTTCGTAGAATTAAATATTTACCCGTCTGTAAGAGATTAGGCGAAAATAAAAAAGGAAAACGAAATGGCAGTTAGAAATAATGAAGAAATAATTTTTCAAAGAAAAAAATAAGGCCATGAATATATAAACTAAAGCAAATATATAATCATCGTCGAAGAGGCTTTTTAAAACAAAACCAAATACTATATCGCGGAAAACGGGATCCTATATCCTATTGGGCCCACAAAAACATTATTTTATAAATCCACGCTTCTATTGGGCCCACAAAAACATTATTTTATAAATCCACGCTATTGGACCCTTGAAAAATATTCTTTTATAAATTCACGCTTCTATTGGGCCCTCAAAAAATATTCTATAAAAATCATTATTTCTATTGGCCTCACAAAAAATATTTTTTTTAAAAATCCACCCTTATATTGCCCCCTCAATAAAATATTATTTAAAAATCCACACTTCTTAGATTTTTATTATACCCTACACAACTATGTTGTCAGGGTATTATAGCTTTGTGAAACCCCAAAAGTTTGTAACGCCGCGAAATATTGGTCCTAGACCCACCTTTAAGTATACCGATCGTCATATCTCGACTAGCTGAGTCGATCTAGACATGTGTGTCCGTCCGTCCGTCCGTCTGTCCATTATAATTTGTAAACACGATACAGGCCACAGTTGTGGACCAATCTTCACGAAATTTGCATGTAGGATGGGTTCTGCCCAATGAAGACCCCTATTGGGAAAGATCGGTTAATATTTAGGGGATGAATTGGACCAAAAACTTTATTTTTGTATGATTTTCTGGTCGCTCCAGAGGCCGCAGTTATGGTCCGAACATCGTGAAATTTTATATGGAGAAGGGGATCGGGGCTAAGAATAAGCATACCTGTTTTGATAAAGATCGGTCAATATTTAGCGGGTCAAATGAACCCTGATTTTTGTGTGAAAAATTACAAAATTTTTATTCTGGGACGCATATACTTGCTCCTGAAGGACATATACTCGAGATGTTGATAGTATGTCCAAGATGATTTGTTGACCTTCAAATTGGTACCAATTGTATGGCTGTATGTATTCCGATGCGGGAGTTATACGTAATTAAGTAAAGGTGACTATGTGCATATTATTACCATAACTCCATTAGAGGACGGAAATTTCGCGCTGATCGCTTTGAAATTGTACATGAAGTTCCGATTATGGTCAAGGACGAGGCTTATAGTTTTCGGTGAGGTTAAGATTTCATTCAGGGGGTGCAATGAACCGAAAACTTTAATTTTGTCCGATTTTCTAGTCGCTTTAGAGGCAAATATTATATACAGAACATCATATATTTTACAAAGTGAAGGGGATCTGACCAAATACTTAGAGCGGCTGTTTATATGATGATCGGTTTCCGAGGGTCAAATCAATCAAAACCTAAAGTGACCAATTTTTTATTCTATGGCGTAAAAATTCTCTTCAAGAAAAAAGGATTTTGGAAAATATGCAAGACTTAGAAATAGGAGTTGCTGATCTATAATCTGTAAAAAGGGTGCAAATATCACGAAATATTGCCCAGGCTCAGAATATAGAACCGCCGAAAGTGTGATTTTCGTGGTAGTTGTGTAGGGTATCATATGGTCGGCTCCGTCCGACTATACTGCTCCGCTCACTGGTTTAAATCTACGCTTCTATTTGGTCCCTCGAAAAATATTCTTTTACAATTCCACGCTTCTACTGGTCCTTCAAAAATATTCTTTTACAATTCCAAGCTTCTATTAATCCCTCAAAAATATTCTTTTATAAATCCAACCTTATATGGCTCCCTAAAAAATATTAAAAAATACACACTTCTTAGATTTTAATTTCATATTAAAGAACAATAGGTCGTATGACTATTGACAACATGTATACGCCCTTCCATTCTTCTGGCACTACAGATTGATATTTTATAGTAAAAAATAGATTTTTTCTATCGAAGCTTTTATTGGTCCCTAAAAAAATATTCTTTTATAAATCCACGCTTCTATTGGTGCCTCAAAAAATATTCTTTTATAAATCCACGCTTCTATTGGGGCCTCAAAAAATATTCTTTTATAAATCCACGCTTCTATTGGTCCCTAAAAAAATATTCTTTTATAAATCCACGCTTCTATTGGTCCCTAAAAAAATATTCTTTTATAAATTCACGCTTCTATTGGGCCCTCAAAAAATATTCTTTTATAAATCCACGCTATTGGACCCTTGAAAAATATTCTTTTATAAATCCACGCTTCTATTGGGCCCTCAAAAAATATTCTTTTATAAATCCAGGCTTCTATTGGTCCCTCAAAAAATATTATTTTATAAATCCAGGCTTCTATTGGGCCCTCAAAAAATATTATTTTATAAATCCACGCTTCTATTGGCCTCACAAAAAATATTTTTTAAAAATCCACCCTTATATTGTCCCTTCAATAAAATATTATTAAAAACACTTCTTAGATTTTTATTTATATTAGAGAACTATGGGTCGTATAACTATTGACAACATGTATACGCCCAACACTACCTTTGTCCCAAAATTCATATAAAACGCTGTATTCCCCCCATTACTCGTAGCCATTGAACATTGATTAAGGGGACCCCCCCCATTCTCGGGGTCAAAATTTTTGTTGATATAATTCGAATCTACATTAATTAAAGAATGTCCCTACAAAATTTCAAGTGAAAATCTCAAGAACTCTTGAAGATATATCCGATTTATTGTGTCAGCATCAAGTGACGGCTAAAGGGCTTCTCAAACTTTAAACGAGTTTTTCTCTAAACATTTTTTTGCTAATGGCGGGCACGATAACTCAAAAACTAATAATCCAATCGGTTCCAAATTTTGCAACGTTTCTCTGGGAGTGTATATCTCTCGTATGAACTAGGATAAAGCCAATGAAGATCTTCCTTATTTTTTAACTTGGTTTTTGGTAAAAAATCGGCGATTTTCCAAAAATATTTTTTCAAAGGTCCACCATTTTGTTAATTTTAGAGCGAAGTCTATAATCCTAGTTCATACGAGAGCCACACATGTACATTTTCTAACACCGTTGGAATTTTCGGATTCCGATGCTCCAGTGAGGAGTTATCATGCCCGCCATCAAAAATAAGGACTTTTCTTTAATTACAAAAAACAACAACAAAACAATAACAAAAAAATGTTGTAAATTATTTTTCTTCTCTTTTAAATCTTCAATTATATATGTGCAAAAGTTACAAAACTTAACAAGCATTGGTATTGATTTACCAGCCCATTGAAAATCTTCAAAAATTAAAATCGAGAATGGGTGGGGTTCCCTTAAAAAAAAACAACTTTTTCAGCTACAGTAAGGAATGTAGTAAAGTCGGACTGGGCCGACTATATGATACCCTTCACCACTTTGTGTATATTCAACAGATTAATCCTAACAGACGTCGAATTTTTGAGGGCCATTGACATGAAAATGGATCCATAAACATGTCATTCTGCAACCTATACTAAATTTTTCATTTGGTCAGATACAGGGTTGCTTCTTACAATGGGACAAATTATGTAAATCAATTTAAGGGGACCCCCCCATTCTAGGGGTCAACATTTTTTTTGATTTAATTTGTATCTACACTAATTCATGAATGTCCCTACAAAATTGTAAGAGAAAATCTCAAGAACTCTTGAAGATATGGCCGATTTATTACGTTTCTCTCTTTTGTGAATGGCGGGCACGATAACTCAAAAACTAATGACCCATTCGATTCCAAATTTTTACACGTTTCTCTGTGAGTGTATAGCTATCGTATGAACTAGGATAAAGCTAATCCGTGAAGATCATCCTTATTTTTTATTTTAACTTGGTTTTTGGTAAAAAATCGGCGATTTTCCAAAAATATTTTTTCAAAGGTCCGCCATTTTGTTAATTTGAGAGCGAAGTCAATAATCCTAGTTTATACGAGAGACAGACATGTGCTCTTTCTGACCCAGTAGGTTTTGCGCATATCGCCCACATTTTGAGTTCTTGGTGCATCATGTACTCAAAATCGGGAGAAAATATATATAGAAGCTCTATCCAAATCTGCACCGATTTCAAAACTTTACACACGCTAGGTTATATTAACTTCAGTACGTTGTGCAAAATGTTGCGTAAATCGGCCTAACTTTACTTGAAGTCGGACGAAGCTATATCTAAATCATAACCGATTCTTACAATACTTCTTAACTAAATTCTGTACAATTTGCAAAATTTTGTAGCACACGGCCGAACTTTGGGTTTTTGTTGCACCTTTTACTTAAAATCTGGCGAAACTATATATAGTAGCTATATCTAAACCGATTTCATTTAAACTTGCCACACGTTATGTTATAGTAATTTCAGTACGGTGAAGCATTTATATCCATCTTCTAGGTTATACTAACTTCAGTAGGTTGTGCAAAATTTCTGTCAATTTTGTGTAAAATTGGACGAAAATATACATTTAGAAGCTATATCAAAATCTGAACCGATTTCAATGAGACTTGCCAGAGATTAACCTATATTAACCACATTATATTCTATTCTGTGGAGCAATCGGACAAACTTTGGGCCTTTTTATTGCATAATTTACATTAAATCGGCGGAAAATATGTATGAGAGCTACATCTAAATCAGAACCGATTTTCAGGAAACTTAACACACAACGTTCTAGACCTAATTCAGTACATTATACCAAATTTCGTGCTAATCGAAAGGTATATAGGGACTTTGGTAGACCATGTTCATTAAATTGAACGAAAATATATATGGGAGCTATATCTAAGTCTGGATCGATTTTCTCGAAACATAGCACACTTCATTCTAGACTCAATTCATTACGCTGTACCAAATTTCGTTCAAATCGAAAGATATATAGGAACTTCGGTACACCATTTACATTAAATCGGTCCAAAATATATATGGGAGCTATATCTAAATCTGGACCGATTTTCCGGAAACTTAACACACATCATTCTAGACCTAATTTCATTACGCTGTACCAAATTTCGTTCAAATCGAAAGATATATAGGGATTTCGGTACACCATTTACATTAAATCGAAAATACATATGGGAGTTATATATAAATCTGAACCGATTTTTCCCAATTTCAATAGGATTCGTCCTTGGGCAAAACAAATTAGCTGTGCCAAATTTCATCCAAATCGGATTATAAATGCGACCTGTACTTTGTTTACAGACGGACGGACGGGCATGCATAAATCAACTTTAAAAGTGATTCTATGGATATTCTCACAAGGAACCATGTGTCTATTTCGTTTCCTTTTGCCTGTTACAAACATATGCGCAAAGACATAATACCCTGTACCACAGTGGGGTGAAGGGAATAAAAAGGACTCTAAAAAATTTAAAAATTCACGCTTCTATTGGTCCCTGGAAAAATATTCTTTAACAAATCTACGATTCTGTTGGTCTCAGAAAATGATTCGATCAAAATCTGATACCAGATTTTAAGAGCTTCCTTTCGTGATCTTAATGTTTATTTTATATTAGAGAACAATAGGGCGTATAACTATTGACAACATGTATACTCCCATCGTGACCAGTTTATATTAGAGAACAATAGGGCGTATAACTATTGTCAACATGTATACGCAGGGGATGATAGATAACTGATTAGTCATCTCAATTTGGCTGCCACCTGGGGAGATGAATGCTATAAAAAATGCCAGGAGCCAATGTATAATTTTGGAACCAATGAGCATCCTGTGTCCCATGCACAAAAAAGGAGACAAGACGATATGTGCCAACTATAGAGGAATAAGTCTCCTTCCCATCGCATATAAAGTGCTATCCAGTGTGCTGTGTGAACGATTGAAGCCAATGGTCAATGACATCATCGGACAATACCAATGCGGCTTCAGACCTGGCAAATCCACCATTGACCAGATCTTCACTCAGCGCCAAATCCTGGAATAGACCCACGAAAAACACATCGACACATACCACCTCTTTGTTGACTATAAAGCCGCATTCGACAGCCCTATCCGTTCAGAGGTGTTGAAAGCCATGTCTACGTTCGGCATCCTGCAAAATTAATACGGCTATGCAGGATAACTTTAAGTGTCACAAGGTCAGCAGTTAAAGTAGGAAAGGACCTATCGCAGCCCTTCAATACCGAACGAGGATTCAGACAAGGTAACAGTTTGTCGTGTGTTCTATTTAACATCCTGCTAGAAAAGGTCATACGAGAGGCAAAGGTGAACAGAAATGGCACTCTGTACACCAAACAACACATGTTACTCGCCTATGCCGATGACATCGACTAATGGGTCGAACACTCGAGCGGTAACAGCTACCTTTGAACAAATCGAGAAGGAGTCTGCCAAAGTGGGTCTCTCAGTAAACGGCGAGAAGACCAATCTGATGGTATCAACGCGCAAGGCGTCCAGTAGACTCGGACCAACTGTGGAACTTGAGAACTACAGCTTCGAGGTAGTCAAAGATGTTATATACCTTGGTACCGCCATAAATAAAACGAATGACATCAGTTTTGAAATTCGGAGAAGGATAGTGATGACCAAAAAATGCTACTATGTTCTGAGCAAATAACACAAAAGCAAGGCCACCTCCCGCCAGACCAAATTCACATTCTATAAGACGCTGATACTACCCGCGCTGTTATATGGATCTGATGCATGGGTACTCGCGCAAGCAGATGAGTCAGCTGCGCATGGGTACTCGCGCAAGCTGATGAGTCAACTGCGCAAAAGACCGACGCGCCTTGCAATCTTTTTTTAAGCTCAGCTTATGGAACGAAAGTTCTGTCGCAAGCCAGCAAAGTAAGTTAAGTAACAATAGAGCGTATAACTATTGTCAATAAGTGTACGCTCATCGTGTTCCGTTTCTATAGAAAAATTAATGTAAATTTATCCAATAAATAATTAATTTCAATTTAAAAAAAAAAATATCTCTTTCCACAGATTTTTAAATATAATATTATCCTGACATGCACATATCCGTACGAACATTTTATTATAGCACATTAACACACAGACACACACACACTAACTCACCTGTATTATGGTATTATTATTGCTGCCATTCTCTTTGACCCACATGATATTACCATCAGCTATGCATGGTATTGAAATATTTTCACCTTTATCGGTCACGTATTCGTTGTATTTTATAGTTGATGTCAAAACGGTTAGCACTGGAACGATATAAAAAGGGGCATAAATAAAAGTGGATATTACATAATATAAGAATAAGTCATTATCTAAGGATATCTAAGGATAATTGTATTAAATGTTTCAATTTCTGATCTCTTAACTATAAGGTTTTTGATTTTCCAAAAAAATCCACTTATAGGTCACTTGGAAAAATTGAATTTAAAAAATACACACTTATAAGCACGGAACCGGCTCCTGTAAATTATTAAACAAACATGTTATGAAATAATAATTATTTTATATGGTGACATAGTATCACAATTGAATGACATATTGTGAAAATGGGACAAAATGATGACGTTTCAATTAATTTAAATTTTTTAAAGTCCACAAACATTCGATTCAATCGTTTAACCTCTCATTTCAGTTCCAGCGTGTCGACAAAACTTGATGTCAAACTGACTATTTCGAACGGGTTTGATGCCCAATTTACTTGAAATGGGCCTAAAATATATATGAAAGCTCTATCCAAATATTAAGCGATTTCAAACAAACTTGTCACAGGTTAGGTTATACTAATTTCAGAACGTTTTGTTCCTATTGGTTTCTTGGTGCGTCAATTACTTAAAATCAATCTATAATAAAAGGGTGCTATATCTAAATCTGGACAGATTTTATACGAAACAACGCAGACATCATCCTAGGTTCAATTCAGTACGTTATGCCAAATTTGGTGCAAATCGAAAGATATATAGGGACTTTGGTGCACCATTTACGGACGAAAAAATATGTGGGAGCTATATCTAAATCAGAACCGATTTTCATGAAACTTAGCAGACATCATTCTAGACTCAATTAAGTACGTTATGCCAAATTTCGTGCAAATCGATGGATATATAGGGACTTTGGTGCACCATGTACATGAAATCGGACGAAACTATACATCGGAGCTATATGTAAATCTTGACCGATTTTCTCGAAAGTTGGCAGACATCATTCTAGACTCAATTCAGTACGTTATGCCAAATTTCGTGCAAATCGCAAGATATATGTGGTGCACCATTTACATGAAATCGAAGACACTATATTTTGGACCTATATCTAAATCTGTACCGATTTTCACGAAACATGGCAGACATCATTCTAGGCTCAATTCTGTACGCTATGCCAAATTTCGTGCAAGTCGAAAGATATATAGAGACTTTGGGGCACCATTTACATGAAATCGGACGAACCTATATATGGGAGCTATATCTAAATCTGGACCGATTTTCACGAAACTTGGCAGACATCATTCTAGGCTCAATTCTGTACGCTATGCCAAATTTCGTGCAAATCGAAAGATATATAGGGACTTTGGGGCACCATTTACATGAAATCGGACGAAACTATATATGGGAGCTATATCTAAATCTGGACCGATTTTTACGAAACTTGGCAGACATCATTATAGGCCCAAATGATTAGGACTTTGGGACACTATTTACATGAAATCGGACGAAACTATATATGGGAGATATATCTAAATCTGGACCGATTTTCACGAAACTTGGCAGACATCATTCTAGACCTAAATGATTAGGCTGTACCAAATTACGTGCAAATCAAAAGATATATAGGGACTTTGGGGCACCATTTACATGAAATCGGACGAAACTATATATGGGTGATATATCTAAATCAGGACCGATTTTCATGAAACTTGGCAGACATCATTCTGGGCTCAATTAAGTACGTTATGCCAAATTTCGTGCAAATCGAAAGATATATAGGGACTTTGGTGCACCATTTACATGAAATCGGACGAAACTATATATGGGAGCTATATCTAAATCTGGACCGATTTTTTGGAAAGTTGGCAGACATCATTCTAGGCTCAATTTTGTACGTTATGCCAAATATCGTGCAAATCGAAAGATATATAGGGACTTTGGGGCACCATTTACATGAAATCGGACGAAACTATATATGGGAGCTATATCTAAATCTGGACCGATTTTTACGAAACTTGGCAGACATCATTATAGGCCCAAATGATTAGCCTGTACCAAATTTCGTGCAAAGCGAAATATATATAGGGACCGTTTACATTAAATCGGTAAAATATATATATGGGAGCTATATCTAAATCTGAACCGATTTTTCCCAATTTCAATAGGGTTCGTCCTTGGGCCGAATAAGTGACCTATGCCAAATTTCATACAAATCGGATCATAAATGCGACCTGTACTTTGTTTACAATTTAACATGGACAGACAGACAGACGGACGGACGGACATGCATAAATCGATTTAGAAAGTGATTCTATGCATATTCTCAAAAGGAACCATGGGTCTATCTCCATTATTTTTGCCTGTTACAAACATATGCACAAAGACATAATACGCTGTACCACAGTGTGGTGAAGGGTATAAATACACACTTATAAGCACGGAACCGGCTCCTGTAAATTATTAAACAAACATGTTATGAAATAATAATTATTTTATATGGCCTGACATAGTATCACAATTGAATAGACATATTGTGAAAATATTACCCCATGATGACATTTCAATTAATTTAAATTTTTTAAAGTCCACAAACAATCGATTCAATCGTTTAACCTCTCATTTCAGTTCCAGCGTGTCGACATGACCATGAACAACTTTGAACGAGTCTATCGTCACTATTTACGTTTTATGGGCCTAACATGTCATTCGGAAAATTGGTATTTGAAACGAGTCCTGCAGTTATCTAACTGTTTGGTGGGAAATTTCGAATTCTACGAATTGTATGCCTACTTAGAGACAATGATGATACCGAATAGTCAAACGGGTGTAATGATTATTGTCTTTAATTTGCTGTATATCCTCTACAAGGGTAGTCATATTATCATCTGTCGATGGGCGATTATTGAAGTAAAGAAAGAACAAGAAATCCATCTCTGGCTAAAGGATATCGAAGATACACTACAATTACGATTATATCATCAAGTGGAGATCTCTACCGAGACGTCAGGGAGAGATTTTTGGAAACGATTTATTTATTTGTGTTTAATACCCTTCGATATTGGATGGTTTTGTGGAGTTTGCATAATCATGTACCGGCAAGGATTCGAAGTGAAATTTATAGGATTTGTGGGCCGCCTACTGTATGCAGTCACTGCCATTTGGAATGTCTATCTGCAAATGGGTTTTGTAATTATGGATTTGGATAAGAAGCTGGATAATATCGCGGAATATTTGGAGTTATTTACTCAACCGGTCACTAGAAGAGAACAATAAATAATTAAAAAAACTGGATTTTTACAGAAAAACGAGTGAGAATCTGCAGGGCGACAAAGTGGAGTTCCAATCTTCGATAGGAAATAAACGAATATCCCCAAAATTCCGACCATTCCAGTTGAAACGAATTTTAGCACTGAAACATATTTACCTCCAAATTTATAAAATTTCACGTCACTGCTCCACCCGTTATGGTCCTGCAGTAGGTTTGGCAAATTTCCTCTTTGTTGTCGATATAACCCGATATTGTTATATAATTATTGTTTATCTTGTACGAAATACGCTTGAGATGCATATGATTTGGAATTATTTGTATTCGTTGCTGCCATCGACAATTAAGGGATTATATCTATGCTGGTTGTGTCAAAAATGCACGAGGAAGGTAAGTAGTGTAGTTACTTGGAGGATAATTTTGAAAAAAATAGGGAACTATTTGGATGCTTGAAAAAATATTCTTTAAAAAATCCACACCTATGGTGGCCCTTGAAAAACTATTCTTTAAAAAATCCACGCCTATGGTGGGCCTTGAAAAAATATTCTTTAAGAAATCCACGCCTATTTGGATGCTTGAAAAAATATTCTTTAAGAAATCCACGCCTATTTGGATGCTTGAAAAAATATTCTTTAAGAAATCCACGCCTTTTTGGATCTTTGAAAAAATATTCTTTAAGAAATCCACGCCTATTTGGATGCTTGAAAAAATATTCTTTAAGAAATCCACGCCTATTTGGATGCTTGAAAAAATATTCTTTAAGAAATCCACGCCTATTTGGATGCTTGAAAAAATATTCTTTAAGAAATCCACGCCTATTTGGATGCTTGAAAAAATATTCTTTAAGAAATCCACGCCTATTTGGATGCTTGAAAAAATATTCTTTAAAAAATCCACGCCTATTTGGATCCTTGAAAAAATATTATTTAAAAAATCCACGCCTTTTTGGATCCTTGAAAAAATATTCTTTAAAAAATCCACGCCTTTTTGGATCCTTGAAAAAATATTCTTTAAAAAATCCACGCCTTTTTGGATCCTTGAAAAAATATTCTTTAAAAATATTCACGCCTTTTTGGATCCCTAAAAAAATATTCTTTAAAAAATCCACGCCTTTTTGGATCCTTGAAAAAATATTCTTTAAAAAATCCACGCCTTTTTCGATCCTTGGATCCACGCCCATTTGGATGCTTGAAAAAATATTCTTTAAGAAATCCACGCCTATTTGGATGCTTGAAAAAATATTCTTTAAGAAATCCACGCCTATTTGGATGCTTGAAAAAATATTCTTTAAGAAATCCACGCCTATGGTGGGCCTTGAAAAACTATTCTTTAAAAAATCCACGCCTATGGTGGGCCTTGAAAAACTATTCTCTAAAAAATCCACGCCTATGGTGGGCCTTGAAAAACTATTCTTTAAAAAATCCACGCCTATGGTGGGCCTTGAAAAACTATTCTTTAATAAATCCACGCCAATGGTGGGCCTTGAAAAACTATTCTTTAATAAATCCACGCCAATGGTGGGCCTTGAAAAACTATTCTTTAAAAAATCCACGCCTATGGTGGGCCTTGAAAAACTATTCTTTAAAAAATCCACGCCTATGGTGGGCCTTGAAAAACTATTCTTAAGAAAATCCACGCCTTTTTGGATCCTTGAAAAACTATTCTTTAAAAAATCCACGCCTATGGTGGGCCTTGAAAAACTATTCTTTAATAAATCCACGCCAATGGTGGGCCTTGAAAAACTATTCTTTAAAAAATCCATGCCTATGGTGGGCCTTGAAAAACTATTCTTTAAAAAATCCACGCCTATGGTGGGCCTTGAAAAACTATTCTTTAAAAAAATCCACGCCTATGGTGGTCCTTGAAAAACTATTCTTTAAAAAATCCACGCCTATGGTGGCCCTTGAAAAGATATTCATTAAAAATCTAAAATACCTACGTATTGAATTTTCACTTTGCCATTCATAATTCGCTTTAGCTATGAGAGCGATGAAGTATCCGATTTTAATTAATTGTTTGTAATTATTCAGTTTACATCATTTAATTAATAGAAAATACAAATACGGAGTAAACATTTGTTAGGGGAGTTCAGTTGCAGAAATTCCCTTTACCCGACACGATATGGATATTCGACGCTTAATAGAACGTCTGTATTCCAACTATTTTCGCATTCTGGGCCTGAAGAGTCATTCGGAAAAACGTAAAATTCGAATTTTCTTGAAAATCTTTAATTGTTTCCTCATCATCTGGAATATATTTGAATTGTATCTCTATTGCCGGAATCGCCAAATTTTCGATGGCGCCCAAAGTGTTATTACCATTGCCTGGAGATTTTTATTTATATTCTATCATAGTTTCCATATCGGTGATTGTTTGTGGGCCATATGGGACTGTGGTGAAGAGAGACGTATGCTGGAATTACTGCACGATATTGAGGAGAATTTTCAATTGCATTCCCACCACCATCGAAAGAATGCGGTGAATTGGAAAATAATTTTCTTTTTCCTATTCGATATATTTTGGTTCGAAATGCCCCTGGTGTATTTTTACTTTCAAGGACGAACCTTGGAATTTTTAATATTTATGATTCGTTATTTTTATGTCATCGCTGCGGTGTGGAATATTTATTTACAAATGGGCTTCGTGGCGATGGAACTGGAGGGGAAATTGAAATGTTTAGATGAATATTTGATGGAAGTATTTTATATGCAGAATAATCTGCATAGATATGGTGAAAGAAACCCATCGATGACACACAAATTTCATCCATTACAAATGCAACAACAAATTATGGTCTTGCGCAACATCTATGCTCAGATTTATGCCATTTCCCAGCATTGTTCTTCTCTGTATGGTCCAGGCGTATTTATGGCAAATATTTTATTTTTCATGCATCTGACTCTGGATTTGTATCTGCATATAACGAATATTATGCAAGGAATTCGGCATGTTCACAAACTATTGGCCAATTTGTATGCAATTGTAACGCCCACGATGAAATGCGTTTTCTTATGCAGGATCTGCAATAACTGTGAATCGAAGGTAAGTTTTGAGAATCTTTTTATTTTTCTAAGGCAAAAACTGATTTTAGGCGTGGATTTTATCGGTAGATTTTAAGGCTTGAATTTTATAGGCAGATTTTTAGGCGTGGATTTTTAAAGAATATTTTTGTGAGGTATCGGCAGACTTTTAGGCGTGGATTTTTAAAGAATATTTTTGTGAGGTATCGGCAGACTTTTAGGCGTGGATTTTTAAAGAATATTTTTGTGAGGTATCGGCAGACTTTTAGGCGCGGATTTTTAAAGAATTTTTTAGTGAGTATTGCAGAGTTTTAGGCGTGGCTTATTTAAGAATATTTTAGTGAGTATTGCAGAGTTTTAGGCGCGGCTTATTTAAGAATATTTTAGTGAGTATTGCAGAGTTTTAGGCGTGGCTTATTTAAGAAATATTTTCTATTCGCTGTATGCCCATGGTTTTATGTCCTTTGTATTGACAGCAATAATAAAACGACGAAAGTAATCAATAATCTTTGACGTAATTAAGAATTTAATGGGACTTCGTATCAGACTAACGTAACAAATATTCATTCTAGTATTGTATTTAAATTCGAAATAACAAGTAATGCACACACGCCGCTGCCTTGAACTTTTTCAAAGAAATTATTTTCGTTTTTTGGGTTTAACATGCAGTTCGGAAAATCGTCATCTCGAAATCGGTCTACAGCTATACAACTGCAGCATTATCATTTTCGAAATATATGAATTGTATTTATATTGTCGGGATATGACCTTGGATGGTCTGACAAGTGTCATAAGTGTGACATGGATGTTGTTGTATATTAGTTTTCGATGTTGCCATATTATCGATTGTTTGTGGGCTATGCTAAGAAAAACGGAAGAGAAACGGATACATCAGTTGCTTCACAATATAGAGGACGATTTTCAGTTACGTCTTTACCATCCGACGACTTTCAAAACGATGAATAGAAAATATGTTTGGTATTTATTTTTCATTATTTTCGATGTAGTTTGGTATTTGGGGGCGTTGATCATTGTCTATTATCAAAAGCAGCGACTAGATTATGTCATATTTGTCGGATTATATAATTATTCGGTGCAAGCTGTGTGGAATGTTTACCTACAAATGTCCATTGTTGTTATGGATTTGGAGAAGAATTTGAATACTTTTGTTGAATGTTTAGAAGTGTATAGCAAACCATACGCAGGACATATTTATAGAGAAATCAAAGAAGAAAGTAATATTAAGGGGGAGACTAGGGAGAAAACTTCCCACA